CCCATTTCCTTCTGGAATTCTAATTAGACATATGCTAGTCTTTCTTTTTCCAAAATCTATGTCTCTTAACCACTGTTTTATAGTTTTCATCTCTGTCTCTCTGTGCTGCATTCTGGGTAAATTCTTCAAGTCTATTGCCCAGCTCACTAATTCTCTCCTCAGCTATGTAAATCTTCCATTTAATCTGTTCACTGAATTTCTAACTTCAAAGATTATGCTCTTCATTTATAAAAATACTACTTGGCTTTTTTTTTTTTCCCAAATAAGTCTTCCTGGTCATTTTTAGTAGTCTCTTGTTCCTTAACTATGCTTATAATTACCAACATTAATTTCTTTAAACATATGAAATATCCTTACTTTATATTATGTATACCATAATTCCTACCACACATCTGTCAGTTTGTAGTACTGTGGTGGCTTGCATGTTGCTGTGATGCTGGAAGCTATGCCACTGGCATTTAAAATACCAGCAGGGTCACCCATGGTAGACAGGTTTCAGCGAAGCTTCCAGACTAAGACAGATTAGGAAGAAGGACCTGGAAGTTTACTTCTGAAAAAATTGGCCAGTGAAAACCTTATGAATAGCAGCAGAATATTGTCTAGTATAGTGCAGGAAGATGAGCCCCTCAGGTTTTAAGGCACTCAAAATACGACTGGGAAAGAGCTGTCTCCTCAAGGTAAACTCGACCTTAATGATGTGGATGGAGTCAAGCTTTCAGGACCTTCATTTGCTGATGTGGCATGACTCAAAATAAGAAGAAACATCTGCAAACATCCATTAATTAATAATCTGAATGTGGAATGTATGAAATATGAATCTAGGAAAATTGGAAGTGTTTAAAAATGAAATGGAATGCATAAAGATCAACATCCTAGGCATTAATGAGCTGAAATGGACTGGTATTGGCCATTTTGAATCAGACATTCATATGGTCTACTATGCCAGGAATGACAAGTTGAAGAGGAATGGTGTTGCATTTATAGTCAAAAAGAACATTTTAAGATCTATCCTGAAGTACAGTGCTGTCAGTGATGGGATAATAGCCATATGCCTACAAGGAAGAGCAGTTAATACAACTATTATTCAAATTCACTGACCAACTACAAAGGCCAAAGATGGAGAAATTGAAGATTTTTACCAGCTTCTGCAGTTTGAAATTGATCGAACATGCTATCCGGATGCACTGATAAATACTGGTGATTGGAATTTGACAGTTGGAACCAAAAAAGAAGGATCGGTAGTTGGAAGATACGGCCTTGGTGATAGAAATGATACTGGAGATCGCATGATAGAATTTTGCAAGATCAACGACTTCTTCATTGCAAATGCCTTTTTTCAATGACATAAATGGCAACTATATATGTGGGCCTCACCAGGGAAAACACAGGAATCAGATCAACTACATGTGTGGAAAGAGACATGGAGAAGCTCAATATCATCAGTTAGAACAAGGCCAGGGACCGACCACAGAACAGACCATCAATTGCTCATATGCAAGTTCAAGTTGAAGCTGAAGAAATTTAAAACAAGTCCACAAGAGTCAACGTATGACCTTGAGTATGTAACACCTGAATTTAGAAACCATCTCAGAGATAGATTTGACGCATTGAACACTCATGACCGAACATCAAACAAGTTGTGGGATGACACCAAGGACATCATACATGAAGAAAGAAAGAGGTCATTAAAAAAATGAGACAGAAAGAAACGAACAAAATGGATGTCAGAAGAAACTCTGAAACTTTCTCTTGAATGTAGAGTAGCTAAAGCAAAAGGAAGAAATCATGAAGTAAAAGAACTGAAGACAAGATTTCAAAGGGCAGCTTGAGAAGACAAAGTAAAGTATTATAATGAAATGTGCAAAGACGTGGAGTTAGAAAACTGAAAGGAAAGAACACGCTCAGCATTTCTCAAGCTGAAAGAACTGAAGAAAAAATTCAAGCCTCTAGTTGCAATTTTGAAGGATTCTATGGGCAAAATATTGAATGACGCAGGTAGTATCAAAAGAAGATGGAAGAAATACACAGTGTCACCTTACCAAAAAGAATTAGTCGACTTTCAATCATTTCAGGAGACAGCACATGATCAAGAGCCAATGGTACTGATGAAAGAAGTTCAGGCTCCACTGAAGGCATTGGTGAAAAACAAGACTCCAGGAATTGACTGAATACTAATTGAGATGTTTCAACAAACTGATGCAGCGCTGGAAGCCCTCACTCGTCTATGCCAAAAAATTTGGAAGACAGCTACCTGGCCAACTGACTGGAAAATATCCATATTTGTACCCATTCCAAAGAAAAGTGATCCAACAGAATGCAGAAATTATGAAACAACATCATTAATATCACACGCAAGTAGAATTTTGCTGAAGATAATTAAAAAATGGTTGCAGCAGTATGTCGACAGGGAACTGCTAGATATTCAAGCTGGATTCAGAAGAGGATGTGGAATGAGGGATATCATTGCTGATGTCAGATGGATCTTGGCTGAAAGCAGAGAATACCAGAAAGATGTTTACCTGTGTTTTATTGACTGTGCAAAGGCATTCAACTATGTGGATCATAACAAATTATAGACAGCATTTCGAAGAATGGGAATTCCAAAACACTTAATTGTGCTCATGAGGAACCTGTACATAGACCAAGAGGCAGTTGTTCAAACAGAACAAGGAGATGCTGAGTGGTTTAAAATCAGGAAAGATGTGTGTCACCATACCTATTCCAGAAACTGGTATTTTGAAGGTCTGAGTCTATTGTTTACTGCTTTGTGCAACTCTTATTTGAAGTGCCTCTTGTCTTGTGTTTTATTTATTTTGCATATGAGCTCCTGTTCCTTGGAACTTTTTCTGTGGGAATTCTTTGAGGCCTGAGTTTAAGAGGAGTTACTTGAGAAGAGGATTTTTGCATTTGTTTCCACCAAGTGCCAAGGGAACTACTATCTACTTTAATTTAAAATTTCTTGTTGTTGTGTTGTTGTTCTTGCTGCATAGGTGCTGTGAATTCCACCCACTCGCAAGGCCCTATGAGGGCTGACTTGTGGTTAGGAGCATGCAGGATTGATATTCCTCTTTCTTCCACTCATTGTCAATGTTGAGCTTGGTGAGTTCCATGTCAGCTCCCTTTCAGAGATTTTTCTCTCCTACCTCACCCATTGTGGGCATCGTATTTTAGTTGCCTTGACTTTAGGGATGGAGTTCTGATTGTGTTTCCTACTTTGCCCAGGCTGTAGGTTTTGTTCAGGTGCATTAAGCTGAAGTTCTTGGTCACCTGGGATCAACAGCTGTCTCAGGGAAACCTCTGCTTCTACTCTCAATTATCTCTTTGGAATTCTGATTTCTTGTCATTTTTTAACCTCTGATTTCTCTTCATTTCTTGTCACCTCGGCTATGCATTTTTATAGATGTTTTAAAATATTTTTATCCAGATTTTTTTTGGGTGTTTTATATCATGGACCCCTGGTGGTACAGTGGTTAAGAGCTCAGCTGCTAACCAAAAGGTCAGCAGTTCAAATCCACCAGCCACTCCTTGGAAATCCTATGGGGCAGTTCGACCCTGTCCTATAGGGTCACTATGAGTCAGAATCGACTCAATAGCAACAGGCTTGGTTTTTTTGGTTTTGGTTTTATATCAGAATAATTTTTCAGGATATACTGTCTACCATATTGCCAGAAACGGAAGTCTAGCCATTCATCCCAGCCCAGCCAAATACCTTTCTCTTAGGAAGTGGCCCATCAGCTGGAGTCCTCTCATTGTGTTCCTCTCACCCTGGCCTGTGGGTTGGTCACTTGTGTTTGTGAACGACATGCTCCTCAACAGCAGGGATGAGGTTTCCTCTCTTCAGCCTCTACAGAGCCCATTCCAGAGTTCAACATACTTACCCTCTGTCAATGTCGGTTGAATGGAATTGCATCCAGGAGCTGGAGGCATCCACCTGCCAGCCTGTGCTGCCAGTGACCTTCCACAAGAGGGCGGTCTCAGCTGGTGTCACAGCCTGGTCACCCCGAGGGCCACGGGGGAGGGGCCTGGCTCCCTGTGGCTCTAAAACCTGCAACATCAAATACTCCCTTGGGACTGGATGGAGAGAATCCTCCTCCCCATTCCACAGGTGGGGAAATGAAGACAAGTAAGGATAGGGGTAGAAAATCTCAGTGTAGGGCCAGGACAGGTGAACCTGCGGCGAGGTCGTATCATATGGGGCAGAACCAAGAGGAACCAGTCTCCTGCTTCTGGACTCAAACTCTTCAAGGATTCTGCTTGAACATCCATATTAAGTTATCTATTCATCCATTCAACAAACGTCTATTAAGCACTGACTGTATGCCCAATACTGGGAGTATAGTGGTGAATTAAACATACTTGGTCCCTGCCTCTTTCTCTCAGTGTCCACTTCAGCCAAACTGGACAACTCAGCATGTCCCCACAACCCTGGGCTTTCTTGCCTCCACACCTTTGCTCTTGCTGTTCCTCCTGGCCCAGAAGCCCCTCCACCATCGCCGCCTAGTGAACTCCTGCTCACTCTTCTAGGCCCACCTTCCATGCCTGACCTCATGAACCCTCCCCTCTGACTTCCATAGAGGAATGTCTAACCCAGGACTGTAGGTAGAGGAGCTGAGTCCTTCTGTGCCATCTCAGGGGACGGCTCCCACCTGGGCCTTAGATCCCTTCTCTGTAGAAGGAGGTGGGGGACAAACTATCTCTCAGACCCTTCCCAATTTATGTCTCTCTGAGGGAGGCTAGGCTCTCTCCTCTCAAAAGTGCATGAAGACCACACCTCCTTCTTCCCAGCAAAGGTTTTACCCAAGGACAAGGTAAACTTTGAGATTTAGTCCCACAAGAGCAGGATTTGGTGGAATGGGACAGACAGCAGATCGTTCATTCATTCATTCTTCCAACATATACTTATTGAACATCTACTCTGTACCAGGTCTCCCTCTGTTGGCCGCCAGAAATGAGATGTTCCCCTTCTACTTACCTTTTCCCTTGTTGCCCTTCTTCCTCAGGCACTCTTGGAGAAGTCTCTCTTTGTCTCACCCTGTTACGTGGTGGGCTTGGTGGGCTCACAGCAGAGGCAGCTGGGGGCTCTCCCCACCACCCGTCATACCAGCCTCGCTTCCTGGAGACCAAACCACAAGCAGAACAGCACGGAGGCGTGAGAGACACTCACAGGCTGGGGTTGGTTGCATGCGTGCAAGAGAGAGCAGCAAGCAAAGATACAACCAGGAACAGCAAGGCAGAGTAGGTGAGTGGGCAGAGAGTGGCCGTGTCCATCTCTGGCCCAGGATGGCACTGCCCGCCACTGGGCACGCATAACCATCAGGGATGACACCAAACATGTGGCTCTTCGTGATCGCAGGATGGCTGACGGCAGCCCTCTCAGGTACCCTCTTCCGTCTCCTCCTGCCACCCTCTCTCTTCCTATCATGCTGGGGGACGTGGTCTTGCCTTTGCAACCCCCTTTCAGATGGTTCCCTCACACACTTCTTTCTGGATCCTTTTGGCCAAGGCTGTGCCCTGGTTGCAGGTGGGATCCAGCTGTGCCAACAGCAGTCGGGGCTTTGAAAGGGAACAGGAACCCCCTTGAGGGGCTGGGGGCTGTGCCTGGCACTCAAATGCTCCAGGCCTAAGAGGCCCCTGTCGGTGAGGTAACACAGGCAGCATGCCTTGTCTTACCAATGGGCACCGAGGGTCTCAGGAGGAGGCTGCCTCCCACCTACAAGCTCAGGGACTCCTCCATTCCCTATTTCCCCAGGAGGGAACATTTATCCTCCAGAGACGAGGACCACCAATGACCATGTTTCCCATCTCAAACCCAATGCCTTGGTCTCACCAGGCTTACCTCTCATGGGGAGCAGTCCCCGAAACACAGTTCAGGTCAGCCAGTCTCTGAGGGCTTCAGCACAACCAGCTGGGGTAGTTTATGGCACAAGTGAGCAGAAAGGCTCCTGAGCTGCCCCCCCGCTCCAAATCCTGAACTCCCCCAGGGTGCTGAGGCCTCCTTGAAGCCCAGGCCGGGGCATCAGGTGGCCAGAAGGTCTGGGGTGCCAGGGCTGTGCTTCTCAGATATGGTTGGCCCCTGCTGAATGTGGGGTTCAAGCTGGCCTGAGCAGGGTGGGGGCCAAGAGACGCGAGAGATCCTGTCTCTGGCTGGCTCACATTTGGCAGGGGGGTCTGGTGTGGAAACAGAGCCTGAAGTTGGTCTCCATCCACCCTGCAATGGAGGAGCCAAGTGCTTTCAGTTGGATGTGAGGGAGCCTCAGGAAGGGCCCTCGAGGAGGGCGCATCCCAGCCAGCTCGGAGGGTTGGGAGGGTTTGGGGAGCTATGGGAGGGGGCCTCTTCTCTCTGCCCTGACGTGGGACACCTGCTCTCAGCCTCCTGGCCTCACACTGGCTCAGGGAACGCGATGTCTCTCTTGGAGTAGAATAAGTGCCCTTTGGCCATGTGTGGGTCAGTCCCCAACTTTGCCTCTCTTCCTTCCAAGAGTTTCCAAGACAGTGCTTGGGGCTCAGCTGCCTTCTGCCCTGAGCGGAGACAGGGACAGGCAGAACCTTCTCCATGCGGCCAGCCCTGGGCCTTAGGTCAGGATGGAGGCCGGGTCTGCAAGGCTGTGCGGCTGGCCCTTGGCACTGCCGGCTGCTTCCAGGGCATCAGACCAGCTCCTTCCACGGCCTCCCAGCGGGATCAGCGGGCTGGGGAGCTAGCCCTGAGCGCTGCCTGGGGAGGAGGTGGGAGCCCCAGGCCTGGGCAGAGCTCAGGAAGGTGCCTGGAAGGGGCTCAAGAGCAGAGCGTCTTATTTTTGGTCACCTTGCCTCACCTCTGTTCTATCTGCTAATTCTCCGTACTGCTATTTACTTAATGCTTGTGAAACTGCATTTATATTTAATTGATACAAGTTTAGCTTTGAAAGGAAACTTTATGTCACTATTGTACATGGAAAACCAGTATCATCTGCAATAACCAAAAGTTCCAAAAACCCATTGCCGTCAAGTTGATTCCGACTCATAGCAATTCTAGGTAGCCATAAAAATAAATGGTGGTGAAAACAAACTTCTATTACGTTCTAGCAAAAAGTTTAAAGAATGCAAAGGCCTTGAGCCTGCAGCCTAGGTCCTGCCTTCTGTAGAAAGGGGGGATGAGGGAGGTATTCGAGACACCCTTGCTCCAAACTGTTATTTTCTCTTGATTTTTCAGAAGAATTGAAAGCCCTTTGAACAAAGAATGGTTTCCTTACTCTGCAGTTTAATGGCTGGCGTTACATGCTGCTTCCTTAAACCCTTTCAGGGGTCACCAGCACTGAGAAATAGGGGCTGGTAGGGGGGCACTGTAGGCAGAGGGAGAACTGTGAGCCCAAGTTCGGTGGGGAGAGAGAGAGAGCCTCCTGACGCAGCCAGAAGTCGGGGCCTGGCCTGCAGGCTGATACGAAGGGGGCTGAGCCACTGTCCCTGGGCCTGCCTGAGTGCTTCTTCCCCTCTGTCTTGGTCCAGCTTGCCCACATTCCAGCAGCACATTGCCCTCAGAGGGCAAGACTGACCCAGATCTGTCTGCAAGGGATCTCCTTGGCCATATTAGTGTGTTGGGGCAGACCACGTTGGGGAAAGGGGATTAGGGATGGCAAACTGTTAAGCACTTGACTATTAGCTGAAAGGTTGGCAGTTCCAACCCACCCAGTGGTGCCTCGGAAGACAGTCCTGGTGATCTGTTTCCCAAGGGTCACAGCCTTGAAAACCCTATGGAGCAGTTTACTCTGCACACATGGGGTCGCCGTGAGTTGGAATTGACTCGATGGCAGCTACCAGCAACAACAGAGAAAAAGAAAATGAAAGAAAGAAAAATGATGGAGGAGAGGAAGCTGAGAGGATGAGGCCCATAAGGACACTCCAGAGCCTTCACCCTAAAAGCTGCTTCTAGAAGCCTGGATGGGGAGCACAGGTCATTGGAGCCTGGCCCTCCTGGGCCCTGGCAGACTGGGCTGTAGTCCTCTGGTGCGAGGCAGGCTTCCCCCTCTCGTGCTCCCCTTCTGTGTTCCAGCTCCAGGCTCTCTATCCTGAGCCTCACACACCTATGAGCCTCTCGCCAGCTTGGCTTCATGTTAGCGACTGCCCGGGGCAGACACCAGGGCTTCCGTGACCAGGTTCTCCAATTCTCTGTGGTGCCGCCCTGGAGGACTTGGCCCAGGGCCAGTGTGTTTGCCTCCAATTCTGTGCCTCAGTTTCCTGATGAGCCAGCTGGGCTAAATGTGCAGAGACAATGAACCAGATGCCTAGTCTGAGGACGGTAGGGTGGGGCCAGGAGACTAGGGGTTTTGCCTGGGCCCTGCCTCTAATTCACTGTGTGGCTGTCCTCCTTCTCCTCTCTGGCCTCAGCTTTCCCATCAGTGGAATGGGGTGCTCTGAGCAGGCAATCTCTAAGAGCTTATCCAGATCTGACACTCTATGGGGCAGCAGAACGTTCTACCAGAAGAATGAACAAATCTGTTTTGGAAGAAGTACAGCCAGAATGCTCCTTAGAAGCGAGGATAGTGAGACTTCATCTCACTTAAACTTTGGACATGTAATCAGGAGGGACCAGTCTCTGGAGAAAGACATCATGCTTGGTAAAGTAGAGGGTCAGCAAAAAAGAGGAAGACCCTCAACAAGATGGAATGACACAGTGGCTGCAACAATGGGCTCAAACGTAGCAAAAATCGTGAGGATGGGGCAGGACCCGGGCAGTGTTTCGTTCTGTTGTGCATGGGGTCACTATGAGTCGGAACTGACTCAATGGCATCTAACAACAATGACAACAATGAGGCAGTAACCAAGACCCAGGCTTTTGCCCGCCAGGGCAGGACCAATATTGGTGACTCTAATTCCATCTATACTGTCGTTGGTGATGACTCAAGGTCGGTTTTTGTTATCGAAAGGCTGCTTGTGGTTACTTAGAAAACAATAATAATATTTAGTTTCTTAAATTAACTAATTAAAAAACTCTTTTTATTTCCTTAAGCTTGTAAATTCAATATACAAATCTCATTTTATTTGTAAGTCCATTTTTAACAATGGCGCTTAAGGGGCCTTTGATAAATATTTGAGCAAATCAAGTTGAACAGCGTAAGTTTCCTCAAACAATAAATGCCACTTAACAAGTGTAGCTAATTAAGTTCCTTTAGGTCTGTGCTGTCCAATAAGGTAGCCACTAGAAATGTGCATTTGAATATGGTAGCCCAAACTGAGCTGTGTTGGATATGTAAAATTCGCAACAGATTTTGAAGATTTGTACAAAAACGAATGGAAAATACTTCATTAGTAAATTTTTGTATGAATTACATGTGGAAATGATAATATTTTGGATATGTTGGGTTAAGTAAATTTTATTATTACAATTAATTGTACCTATTTTATATATATATTACACATACATACTTATTTTTTAAAATGCGGCTGATACGTAGCTTGTGTTATATTTGTACTGGATAGCATTCACTGCCTTAGATATTCTAAACTGCATTTATAAACTAAATGAATTCGATTTTCTTATAAATACTTTAAATACACTTAAGAAACAAAACCCTCCCGAGGATTTCAAAGAATGCATGCACATCTAAAAACTAACTTATAAACCAAGTAAATATTAAGTTCTCTGAAATATTCTATTAATGTTTACAGACATTATTAAATTCTCTTAAATTTTTAGCTTAAAATTTCAACTAAAGTCAATCACTTGATCCCATCCATGAGAAACTCTTACAACCAAATGTTCTTAAACATCACAAATACAGGACGATTGGGTTGCTAAGAGTCGGAATCGTCTTAATGGAGAAAGGGTTTGGTTTGGTTTTTATACACCAGCACACAAAAACTCGACCCAACTACAATTTTTTGTTCATTTAATCATCTCTATTTTTTCCCCCTTAAATAGACTTTATTCTTCAGAGCAGTTTTACATTTATAGGAAAATCGTGTAGAAGGTTGTACAGAGATTCCCTTAGACCCCGCTCTCCCATGTAAACTGTTTCTCCTGTTACTAACATCTTGCATCCCTGTGGTACACATGTTACAATTGATGAACCAATATTGATGCATCCTTATTAACTAAAGTCCATAGTTCACATTTCATCTCTTTTTTTTTAATTCTGCTTTTCCTGGTGTTAAAAGCCACTTGTTGTTATTACAACATGGCAACTCATGGCGACCCCACATGTGCAGGTAGAACTGCTCCATAGGGTTTTCAAGGCTGTGACCTTTCAGAGGCAGATTGCCAGGCTCGTCTTCCATGGCGCCTTTAGGTGGGTTTGAACAGCCAAGGTTTTGGCTAGCAGTTGAGTGCTTAACTGTTTGCACCACCCAGGGACTCTTAAAAGCTATTTAGCACAGAGAAAACAAGTGTACCATTCAGTCAAG